CGTCAGTTGCTATGGACAACACTCAACGACAACTCATATTGGATATAAGCAAACAAATACCACTACTTCATTTTAATTTGGCTCTATCGTTAGACAAAATGATTGATAATTGTGTTTCTACGAAGAAACAAGATATCGACATAATCAATTTTCGCTACGGCACCAGATACAGTCAACGTGACATCCATCCATTGTTGAATGCTTATAAAATAATGCCTGTTGAATTGTTTGAATTAGCATCACCCGTTGAAATCGTCCAAGCATTTCTAAATGAGTCAAAATTTTTAACGTCATTGAAATTATATATTCTTAAACCATTTACAACAACTTGTATAAAGATATCATGTTCTCATCAAACAAAACAGTTAAACATTGAATTTAAAGAATATGTTGACTTGTATACGTCGGATTCAATCCAACAAGCATCAGTCTATCAATCAAAATGTCAGTGTAGCGCCATGTATTATCCAAACACATACACCTATGGATCATCACGATACGTTACATCGGTTTCGATATTGAATCAATCATCCATTTATCTTGGTGGAAAATCAGCATATACAATGGAGGTACTGTACGATTTTGCCGGTGCATTAAAATCTATGTATTCCGGATTCGAAAACTTTTGTAATTCTTACAATGATCGAATCATGAATAGCGTTCTAAATAAACAATTACCAAATGAACAAGAGATTATCAACAACTTACGTTTACTCGAACGACGTTCATTCCAAAACACTTGGTTAGTGTATCGAACGGCGTTATTCCATTTTTTTATGACAAATTCCAGTTCAATAGAAATACCCTTATTAGTAAGTGACACAAAACAACGAAACAACTATTTTCTTTCGAACATTGATCGATGGAATGTATTATTCACAAGTTTATGGTCGTCTCACAAGGATATAAAACCGTGTAAAGAAAATTGTTCAGTTGCTCTAATTACTGATGGATGCCAGAAACCAGATCGGCATATATGTGGATTTCGAGAGGTTTACATTGAGTCAGAAGAACTTGGAAACATTCAGTGGGGATGCGGTGCACACCCATTAAATGATAAGCAACACCAATCAAAATCAAAATATTGTGGTAAACATCAGCATCATGAGTCCAAATTCAACACCGACAAACTTCAACAGCAAAAAATATTCGACGAAAATCAAGATACAAAATATTATACAGATGCTGATTGTAACGTGTCGCGTGATGATAGATTTATGTCTCGTACAACATCGTATGGTATTTTAATTACATTATTGAATTGCGGAGTGATTGTTTCATTCGAAGAATTGTACCTTTGCGAATCAACTACTCGTACATTGTATCATTGGATTAAAACGATAAACAATTATTCCAGATCAACAACAAGTAAGTTGTTTCGCTATTTACTCTTTTCTTTTCGTCCAATTGACACTGGGAGTTGACAATTACAAAATGATCCTATTTTGCTCTTATTATTATGTAATTCTTTTACTTTAGTTATCATGCCTCGCTATTGGATATACGACAATGCATGCGGTATGTTGTTAACATTTAATGCACGTCTACGTAATCAACGAATCATAATTACACCCGCAGTAAAACAATTACAAAATATGAGATTCGTAATCGATAGATTCCATATGGAAAATCACAAACGATCAATATGTAAAATAAAGACAAACCCAAGCAAATATCATGAGCTCAACGACGTGAACACGCAAGCATGCGAACAATTAAATGCAAAAATTAAACAGTACCAAAATGCATTTTCAAGTTACACTGATCCAAAAAGTCGTATCTTCTACTTAATATTATTCCACGAATTTAATTGTAAATTAACAAAAATATCTCCGTACAAAAATCATTCGAACTATGTCAAAATGTAAAACGCCATTACAAATCATATAACGTATGTATTCAGTACCTATGCACCCACAGTCTAGAGTAAACCACTCGTTTATCTATTCTAGGTTTTCGATGGTTATGATATTTTATCTACAATTACAATGAGCTTTAGACATTTTATTTTCAACTACTACACGAGTTCTCATCTAGCTTATTCTTTGATTTGTACTGCTATTTTATTATGCATTTCAATATACAGTTATGTGTTATAAATGTAGCTAAAATAAAACGTCAAACACGCTTAAGGAAGAAATACATGAGATTTCTAACAAAATCTGAACATACGCAATGAAATTTAGAAGAAATAGAACGACATATACTAGTTTGTTTCTTCAGCTTCAACATTCAATTAACCCCCCTTCCTCCCAGAATAAAAGGGCATGCCCTTATACAGTGTCTTGGTACATCGCTACTTTTTGGGTGGTCTTCTATTGGGGATCAATTTCTCGCCAGTTTTTAATTAAAATCA